CGTAGTAAATAGGTGTTTTTAGACTTGTTTTACAGGTATTATTTTTAATATTTGTAGTAATATTTTAAATTAAATTATTATAGTTATGTTTTAAAAAAAATCCCTAATAATTTATCAAACATAAATTACTATTATCTAAATGTGGTGAGGAAAAGTATTTTAAAGGTAATACTATAAATACCAATGATTTGTTAGTTCGAGTGGAAGGAGTTTCGTTTCCTTTAAACAAGGTTTCAAGTTCGAATCTTGTGAATAGAGAACAAATGTTATGTTTTTATTATTTTAGGTTTTTTTATCTTTTCTTGTAAAAAAAATCAAATATTAATTAAAATTACTAAAAATATGTAAAATATTATTAAAATTAATTACATCGATATGATAAATTTACATTTTTAGATAATATGTGTACATAGTTTATACTCATTCCATCCCAAAATAAGTATCCATTTTTTACTTTAAATTTGTTCTAAATTAATTTTTAGTTTTTTTATTTTTTTATTTTAAGGGTGATATATGTTTCGTACTTTAACTCTATTGTTATCCTTTTATTATAATTATTATTTTATCATAAAAAATCTTTCTTTATCTTTTAATTTTGTAAAGATAATATAAATAAACGCATAAATTATTCCTAAATTCTTAATTTAGGAAAAAAGTAAAAAAGTTACAAATATTTTAGCACAAAGGGAGTAAATATGTCATTGGTAGAGTTTTCTTGCTAAAACTAGAATTTCTTTTAACAAAAAAATAAAAACTAGAAGTTTATTTAATATTGAGATATTCTAATTTAAAAAGTCTTTCCTTGAATAAAATAATTAATTAAAGTTTAAAATTTATCTAATTCTTAAAATATCAGGAACTGTTTGGAATTTTTGTGTAATGTTGTGGCTGTTTCTATACAAACTATGTTCATGTTAATTTAATAATTTTTAAAAGTGGAACAAAAATTTTTTTTTTAAGTATTACTATTCCTCTAAACAAGTGCCACTACAATACACAAGATATGAAACCAAATTAATTTAATTTTAACAAATTAACATTTTTAGTATTGATTAATTGTATTATTAGTATGTTTAGTTTGAGTGGAGGGAAGATGAGGAAAGAGAAAATTTTTTTGTTTAGTTACTAAAAAATATAGAGGGGAAAGAAGATAAATGATCCCCTCTCTCTATTTTTCTCAAACCAAAAGTCTCATGAAAGTAATATCAAACGCACTGAACTCTTTTTACTACTACCTTATAAAAGTTGGCATTGTGCATAGGGTTTAGAGTTCTCCGCTGCCTAATTATACACTATGCGAATTAATTGAATTTTTAGTGTTTAGGAATAAAGTTCAAAGTGTTAGTGGAGTAATGAATTTATTTTAAGACTGATTTTCCTTTTCTTGTTTCAGTTAATTTATTCTTGTACATCTTTTTTGGTTATTGATTTCAGATAGAAGAATCCAATCGAAAATTCACCTCTGTTGCGATTCTAGACTCTTTCTCCATGGAATTTCTTGAAATAATAATCCCATCATTGATGGATAAAATAGAACAGGTTCCTCATTTCCAAAAAGAATTTAGCACCCAGCTCAAAGATATTTGGGAAAAAGTACAGGGGAATCCTAAAAATTTCGAGTTGAGAGGGCTTCTGACTCAAATTTGCACTGTAGAGGATACCATTGACTCCATCATTGCTAGAAAAATGCTGCATAGACAAAATATGTCCATCGAGAAGATTCCTGTCAAATATTTTTCAATTGCAATGAGCAGTGTCAAATTTCCTTACGAGTTGCACAGGCAAACTAAGGAGCTAAAAATATTGAATGATTCCTTGTCTGCCCCAGTTCCAGCAGTGAAGTTACCGAGCAAATCAGGTACCGTAGAGGTCCCAGCAAAGGAGTCCTCTAGTAACACAGTTCCTCAAAAGAAGTCCCCTAAAGAAGCTGCAGTTTTATCAAGAAAACCAAGTATTCCAGGGGGCATTCAAGTCTGGTCAGAAAACAAAGATGTTGGGAGGGACAACAAGGATTCAGATGAAAGACATCGTCAGAGTTGGGAGGATGGGTGTGTCCCAATTGTTTTGGAGGAGTTAGTAAGCAAGTTAGCTCAACCGGTACTCCTTAGCAGGCGGATGAGGCAACTTCTCATTTTGAAAGCCAATTTGGAATGCCCAAGTGATGCAATTTTCTTGTGGACTTCCTACCATTCTGATTATACTAAACAGCATTTTCAGTTTCACTGTTGGGTTCCTGTTGCTGACAAGCCTGAAGAAGGAAATATCTTAAGTTATATTTTGAAACAAGCTTCTTCCTCTTTTAAGCAGGAAGAATTAGAGCCGTCAAATCAGTTACTGCGGAGGCAGCTTCATGATTTCTTAGTTTTTAAAAGGTACCTGATAGTTTTATTTGGTGAACTACAAGATGATGTTTGGAAAAATCTTAAATCTGCCTTTCCCTACTCATTGAATGGTAGCCGACTGCTTCTTATCTCTAAAGGAATCACTTCAACCAATGTTTCAGAGGAATGGTCAAGCCAACAGCTAGGGAAGTCTAAAGATTATTTGCTGAAGGAATCTAGAATTCTTGGCATGAAAGATATTATGGCTGAGTTATCCCAGTCAATCTTAAATCAGTGTAAATTGTTGTTTCTCATTTCAATTGTTGGGGTGGCAGAATTAGAGAAGAAAACTTCAGAATCAGAGAAGACAACTTTTTTGTGGGCTATGTACAATGCAGAGGATATTAAGCAGCAATTCCAATACCGTGCCTGGGTTCGTGTTCCAAAGTTTGAAGAAAAAGAACTTCTAGCTGATATTTTGGAACAAGTTACAGATAACAAGGTAGAAAAAGAAGACCTTGACCTGGTGACACTACAGAAGAAGCTTTGCAATTTCCTAGCTCCGAAGAGGTACCTTATAGTTTTATATGATGTTTGGACGGCAGATGTTTGGGACAAGCTCAAACAAGCCTTTCCCAACTCCATGAATGGTAGCCGGGTGATTCTAACTGTCCATGAGGCTGAAGTGGCTTGGCAAACCAATTCTTCTTGGATCTTGGGAACAATTTGTGGAAAAGAGTTGCTACATGAAAAGGTTTCAAATCTAAAAGTTAAACATAAGTGGGGAAGATTCTCTGATGTTAAGGCTAATGAGTCAGGCCTTGTTGGATTGGATGATAAAGCGCAGGAATTAGCTGAACTGCTACTTGAAAGTTATCAATTTCTCATCTCAGTGGTAGGTGTGGCAGGCTCTGGCAAGACGATGCTTGTGAAGGCAATTTACAGTAGTTTAGCAATTAAGCAGCATTTCGAGTGTCGAGCTTTTGTTTCTGTTTCTCAAGTATTTGAGGAGAGAAAACTTTTGGCAGACTTGTCAATGCAGCTGGGAATGGTGCGGAAGGATGAGAGCTGGTCCAAAGAGGAATTGCGAAAAAGACTTAGAAGTTTCTTGGCTTGGAAGAGATACCTAATAGTTTTAGATGATGTCCATACGGCTGATGTTTGGGGGGAACTCAGTCTTGCCTTTCCAGATCCATCAAATGGGAGCAAGGTGATATTCACGATTCGTGATGCCCATGTAGCTCGCTGTGTTAATCCACATACCAGAGTTCTGCAACTACGTTTGCTAAATGATGATGAAAGTTGGGAATTGTTCCTAAAGAAGGTACCAAGAGATGAAGGTAATGATGCTGGATTGATAGCTCTCAAAGATCAAATTTTGCAAAGATGTGGCGGCCTGCCTTTTGATATAGTTGTACTTGGAGGTTTGCTGTCTACCAAGGACCTAAAAAATTGGTCCGCAGTCATTGAGGAAGTCCATAAGAAAGAAAGAAAAAAGAGGGTAACTGGAAAGTCCGTAGACCAACCGGCTTCCTCACATACGAAGCAAGAAAATGAAAGGAAAACGATGCATGCTTTGGCATCTCAAGACTACAATAAGAATCGTTTAGTAGATCAACCAAATTCATGGGCTCAACATGCTGATACCAAGCTAGAAGAGGAAGATGGTATAGGGGAGATCCAGCAAGCGAGTCCCCGTGAAGCTCAACCAAACTTCTCAGTTCAACAGTCTTTTTCAGACAAGAAGCAAGAAGTAGAGATGAAGCATGTAGCAACTAATGAAGATCAGGAAAGTTCTTCAAATCAATTGGCTTTGTCAGATAACAAGAAAAGAGAAGAAGACAAGGCATTGGTGACCAAGAATATCATCTCTGACCAAGATCAATCAGATTCCTCAGATGAAACACTCTCAGGTATGTTGGCTTTTGGCTATCAGGACCTAGACACCGACTTAAAGTTGTGTCTTAATTATTTAGGTCTCTTTCCGAAATCATACAAGGTCCCTTTTAGGAGGTTGTTTCAACTATTTGTTGCTGAGGGATTGGTGAAACAATCAACTGAAGAAAGTTCTGAAGAGAAGGTGAAGAAACACCTTCAAAAACTAGAACAAAGAAACATGATTGAGGTAGGGAAAAAGAAGTTAGATGGGAGCCCCAACACCATTTGTATGCAAAGTACTGTATATGATGCATTATCTCCAAGAGCAGTGAGAGTTGGATTCTTTCACATTCACTCCAACCATGGCCAAGATACCTCCAACACACCCCAGTTCACACCCATCCGCAGGTTCTCAGAACACACAGAGATCAAGGATGGCAGCCCTCAAAATTGCAGCTCTCATCTACGTTCTTACATTTCTTTCAAAACAGAAACAGGTGATCTCCCTGCCTCTGGAGTGGATAAACTTCTTAAGGAGATTGTTAAGAGAGGGTATGGATTAATTGTCATACTTGATTTAGAAGAAGTCTACAAACCAGTGTTATCTAAACATCTAAGCAAATTGCCAAATCTCAAGTATTTGGGTTTAAGATGGACTTTTTTGGATTCAATTCCAGATTCAGTTGGTGACTTGCCCTGCCTACAGACTTTGGACGTGAAGCACACAAATCTAAGCACTTTGCCTGGCACGTTCTGGAAGGCTAAACATCTTCAACATCTTTACTTGAACAATATTTGTTTTGATACATGTATTTCCAAGGCACGTCAAACAAATGGTTCATTAACCAATCTTCAGACTTTATTGGGTCTGGCGATTCGCAATAAGAGTTCTGTAGATTGTTTGAAGGCAACACAGATGAGTGATCTTAGAAAACTGGGAGTAAAATGCTATGAAGAATTCACTGAAGAGATAGTTGGCTGGATTTCTGGATTGAGTGAACTTCAATCATTGAAGTTGAGGTCAATAAACAAAATCGGCGAACCTTCACCACTCAAATTAGAGGACTTCAGTTCTCCTGTTAAGCTATCTCAGTTGTATTTGTCTGGAAAACTTCCAGAGACATTTGATTTTGGAAAATTTCCCCAAAATCTAGAGATCCTTACTTTATCAGTGTCAAAACTGTCAAAGGACCCAATGGAAGAACTAGGAACACTGGTGAAGCTGAAGATCCTTAGGCTGCATGCCCGTTCCTACACTGGGGAAAAAATGACATGTCGTTCTGGCACTTTCCCCAAGCTTCGAGTCTTAAAACTGTGGATGCTTGTGGAGCTGAAGGAATGGATAGTGGAAGAAGGAGCCATGCCTGCGTTAGAAGAAGTTGAGATCAGGTGTTGCAAGAAACTAAATAAACCTACTGGATTGGAGGGGTTGAAAACTCTGAAGGACTTGGTTTTGACTAGCATGGAGGATGATTTTGTGAAGGACGTTCAAGGAAGCATGATGAGTAGAAATGTGTCAATCAAACCACAGAAATTGAAGTTTTCTTCCTGGGTGAGTTCCTCTCATGTGTCCGTCTTTTTGGAGTTTTGCACTGAAATTAATTTAATAAATTGAGAATGATGTATTAACTCCTATCTTTTCTATTGCTTTAGATGCTGCAAGAGAAAAATAGTTATGCAAAGTTAATGATCTTTCCTTTTACTTTCTTTGTTTTTATGTTAGGAATGAAATCATGAATACAAATGGAGGCAAGATCAAAGGGGATCAACAACATTCATCTCAAAGTGGAAATGAAGTTTGTGGAATGACGATGTGTTTAGTGGTGTTCAACAGTATGGCTAAGTATTATCATAATTACTCTACCCGAGTGGACGGGAAAGCAGAGATTTCCCAATCCATTGTTCTAAGCTTTCATTGTTCTAATTGTCTTTCTCAAAGAGGAATTTGTTTCAATAGAATCCTATGGGATGGAAGTTATTCGCACTTGTATGGTGATCTATGTAAAATAGTAACATTTTCCCTGACATGTCAGATCTATGTTATGGGTTGAATTGTGATTTCTTGTTTGAACAGCTTAAACCTGCAATTTTTAGGGTTTAGACAGTGCCAGATTGTTTCCTTATCAAGTGAAGTGCTAGAACTATTTAATTGAACTTGTGGAATTATTCTGCTATGGCAGTAATATTTACTTCTTTGTGAAATGGATGAAGTGTTTGCTTATTTCTTCAGGTAGTGATTGCTAGAATCCCGTTCGTTTTTTTTTGGGGTTTGGAGGTGATGAGGTATTAGAACTTAGAAGATTGTTTTGTCTTTTTGCAATGCATGCTAAGTGTTCGACTAAATGACTCAGAGTATGTCCTTCGTATAGCTCGAGCCTCGAGTTGATTATGCAGTTTTACCGGGCAATTGTTTACGATGTTTGGTTTATTTATTTATTTATTTTTATCAACAAATGTTTGGTTGTTTTGTAATCTGCACAGACGAGACATGATATTTATATTTTCAAGTTGAGGATTTTTGTGTAAGAGAGCCTGTAATGACTTGAGTCATTCCTGGTCTGTTGTCTCCATTTTTGGTATTTCCTTTGTATTAAAATAGTAATTGTTCAATTTTTTTCACTTAAATCTGTCCTGCAGTTTTAAAATAGCTATTCATTATTTTGTTTTGAATATATTTCAAATTATCTTTTATTTTTTATTTTTCATTTTTAAAATAGATTTTTTTTCTAACTTAATCATATTATTATTTATATACTTAAATTATTTATATTATTACAAAAAGTTTAATGGTTCATGCTATTAAAAAAATTCTTTTAAGAGAAAGTATATATATATAATAATTATTTTAAAATGAAATGAGTATATTAGATGGGTACTGGAGGAGCGGGTATCCCTCATCCCCGTCCTTGGCATCGGTGGACATGGGAATGCTCGTATGGATTTTTTATGGTGGGCAAAAAATGCTTTTCATTCCCATATTTGCAAGGAATGAAGGGTTGCCATAGGGATTTCCATGCCCCGTGGAAGTATATAAAAATATTTTTTTTGGTTACATATAAAAATAAATTCATTCATTCAATTTTTAGATTAAAAAAAAAAAAAGAAATGTGAAAGCATTTTAGAAAAAATAATTATTTCTAAGTATTTTTTTTAGAAAATGAAGTAAATTTTGCCAAAAAAATTAATAAAATAAGCTAAATTTAAATTAAGAGAAACTCATTAAATAAAGAAGTACGGTCGGAAAGAATTAAGGTAATAAAGAGGAGAAATAAGAGAGCCTAAGGGTTGGATTAAGATTTATGGGTTTAAAAGTTGAGATATCTGAGTTTATTATAATTTATTAAAATAAAATTTATAATTTTTTATTAATTTAAAGTTTCCGCAAGGATCCATGGAGTTTGAGAAATTTCTGGTGAAATTTTGTGAGAGAAAAATTGGTCCCATTCTACCCACGGGAAAGAATAATTTAGAAATATTTATCCTTACAATAAAAATCTTCATAGAACTTCACGAGTTACGAAGGAAATTTACATCTTTATTCTTCCTTTCGTATCATAATAATAAATTTTTTTATTATTTAATTTTCACAAATTTAAATTTTGAGAACAATTTATATATTTACCTATATTATCTCTATATTACCCTTAAGAAAGAGATAAAGATTTGGTGATAGGATAGTTAATTCAACTTAAGCGATAGCTATGGATAGGAAAAACAAATATTTATCTCTTTTAAAAACTTAAAAGTAGATAATTAATTTAAGACAAATTATAAATACTGAAAAGATAATTATTGTGGGAGAGGGACTGGGAGTACCTTTTTAATTTGATAACATACTTTTGTGTTTTCTAATAATAATAATAATAATAATAAAAGACAAATGTGCTTATTGTCATCAATAAAATTATTATGATTATTAAATTTGTATATAATTTGACTGATATTTGTAATTTTTGTTAAAAAACTAATTATAAGACTTGAAAATATCAATTTATAAATTAATTTTTATTTATTAAATAATAAATATTAGTTATTTTATTAATTATTAGTTATTTTTAACAATTAAATTAAATAAAATCAATATTTTTATATTATTTTAGGGCCTTGATGATTTTATTGATGACCATAAGCACACTCAAGATAACCAAATCAAGATCCTAGCAAGAACTATTTTATGTGTGATTGTTAAGTGAGTTTATGTTACTTGTTCACCTCTCACGCTGTAAAAAAACAATTTTAAGCTAGGTATATCTAATAAGAAATTGTTGTAATTTTTTATCAATAAAAATTTACTATAAAATTTAAAATGTAAACATTATATCAAACAAGTGAAATGTATATTAAATGGTGTTTAACTTTGAATTAAAAAAACTAATAAGAATTGTATTATGTCATGTTATAACCTTGGCTCTTGTACAATCCGTGGCTCTTACACCATTACACCTCTTAGTTGTTTTCCAACTTATACTGAATGTCTGACTCCAAACCTTTTGTTGTGGTCGAGAAGTATATACAGGAGGATATTCCCAACAAAACTTCATAGGATTTACCCAATCTAAGTTTTTCCTGATTTTTACAAGATCGAGAGACTTTTGACAAAACCTATCATCAACGTTGCCTAACCCAGAAGGAATGCTAGGGATTTTTCCCTTGGCATTTTCCCTTTTCCTCTTGTGTGGGCAAGTGAGCCTGTTAGAAACAATTTTAAGTAAGAGATACGTAATAAGAAGTTGTTGTGATTTTTTTATAATAAAGATTTATTATAAAATTTATAATGTTCACATTATATGAGATTAATTGAATGTATATTAAATCACATGGTTAATTCTTAATTAAAAGAACTAATAAAAAAATGTCACCTATGTGTTATAAGATTTTAATATGAATAAACATTGTCAAAAAATTATAAGAAACCATATAAACAACGATATTAGTGTGGAGAAGCGACTATGGTTATTGTCATCAGTAATTTTGTTAAAAGTACCAAAATTGTCAAAATTTTACCTCAATTTAATTATTAAAAATAATTAATAATTGATCAAATAATTAATACTTATTACTTAATAAAGTTAAATTGATTTATAAATAGATATTTTTTAATATCAAAATAAAAAATTTAAGAGAAAATTATAAATTAATAAAATTAACAATAAAATTAATGGTGTTAACAAAATTTATAGTGACTATGCGTGCGTTTGGGATTACTGTAAAGTATGGTGGTTGTAGTTGTGGTTGTGGCTGTGGTTGTGCTAATCTATGTTATATTGTATCTGTGATTGAAAGTTATTTTGATATTTGATTATTTATTTCTTAATAGTATTATGGATGAAATATGATAGATTTTATTAATTATTAATTAAAATTTAAAAAATATTGTAAGATATATAATTATTAAAATAAATAATATTTATTGTTTTTTAATAATTTAGGTTTTTTAAATTTATTATTATTATTAAAATATTATAAATAATGATATAATTAAATTATTCAAAATTGGATTTTAATGGTTAATTTTATAATTATATTAAATATTAAATGTTTTGCGTAAAAATCACAATCAGAAAGTTTAAAAATGAGGATTCTGACTTTATATATAAAATTTGTTTTTTACTATGATTATAATTTTTAGAAAAAATAATCTAAAAAAATATTAACAAATACAAATATATCTAAAAATACTATATAACTATACAAAAAAACTACAAACCACAATCCCAAACCCACCCTATAACATCATCGAAAAAGAGGATAAAGTGCATAGTCTTAATAGAACTAAACCTAAAGTCTAAGGACTAAATACATAATTACCCACTTTGTTTATTAAATGAAGCAGATGCTTCTTTCTTCCTCCAGAGTCAATGCAAGTCAATATTGCTTCAGTTCCTCCGTTTTTCCAGTATTTTCCAGCGTCTTATCCTCCGATTTTCACTTCCACTATCCAAACTTCCTAACCCCCATTTCCATTGTTGAATTTGGCAGGATCTAATTGCATGATGAGCAAAATTGCAAGACTTGTTTAGGTAAAATTTCCCATTTCTCTCATTTTTACTATATATGCTCAAAATCTTAAATATATTACATATCTTCATGTATTTGTAGATTTTTACATGTTTTTGATATATATTTTTAACAAGTTATGCCCACAAAAAGGACCAAAATCATGGATTTACACGAGAGTGTGTGAGTGATGAAAATGGGTTTTGAATGGGTAATGCTTGGTTGTAATCAACTAATTTAACTATGTATGAAACACTTTAAGAATTAGAAAATGGTGAGACAATAAATAGTTTTGAAGGGTTTGGTGGAAATGGAAAATTTGAGGTACCGTCAAGGGTAATGTGAGTAAATCTCACCTTTTAAAAAGACTACAATTTTTTATTTCTTGGGTTATTCCAATTAGTAGGAAAAAATATGTCTCGTTGCAATTATGTCCTAAACCAACCAATTATTTAAGTAATTTTAATGGATCCTCGAAAGGTTTCTCCTCAAGTCGGAAAGCTGGCTTGATTTCTTTTTTTTTTTTTTTTTTTTTTTTTACTACTTCCCCTCTCTCAAAATAACTGTCCTTTTGAAATTTTTTTTCAAATTAAGGATTTAGAGATAACTTATTTATTTACTTATATTTCCCATAGAAAAAAAAAAGCTAGTAAATGATAACATCAAACTTTTTATGATATGATAATTAATCAAAATAAATGAATAACAATAGGTTAAACTAGAAAAAAAAATATTTGTTTACCTTACAAAATTAAAAAAAAAAAAGAAAATTAATTTGAGACAAACTCAAACTCAAAAAAACAATTATTTTAGGACAGAGGGAGTGGTTTAATTTTTTATTTCCAATTTATTTAAAAATTAGATTTTAATTTTTTTTTTTTTTTTTTTTTTTTTTTTTTCGTTTTTGGGTTGAGGCAACACTCTGCCATGAAGAGGTCTGTAGCAGATTTTAAGATATTAAGATGTTAAGTGTTATGGGATTTAGAATTTATAAGTTTCTTAATTATGGTATTGATCTTATTCTTGAGAAGGCATGGTCGAGGTTGTATTGATGAGGATATATTTGGAAGTATTTGGAGCTATTTGTTACAGGATTTAAATCCATTTTTCAGGTAAATCCGACTGGATTTTCTTTAGATTACACAATTTGGCTACACGAACAGTCTTCAATTGGTAGAATACTGAGATTAACAGACATGATATATCATGTGGTCTGGTCATTGTTAGATGTATCGCAGGACACCAGGGACTAATAAATGGTGGAGTCACTGGAGCATGTAGAATTCATAGTTTCTGTTTTGAGGGAAGAGGACTAATAATCAGTGATTGCTATATTTTATTTCTTGAGATTTTAGGTGCTTGTAGAATTGATACTTTGATAATTGTGGATAACTTATCCATCTTAATTTAAGGGTTGTGAGTTTAATTCAACATGATTGCTATCATTATAGCAGTTCCGACTATCATATTATGCACTTTGTTTGGATGGATGAACAGCAGCTAAGTTGCATTTTGCAATGACACATTTTACTATGGTTTGTTATGAAATTACATTAAGCATTCCTTTTGGGAAAATATTATATTATTTTCATTTTCATTCAGGCAGTTCAAACAAGTTCAAGTTATACTTTATTTCCAAGAAGTTAAAAGTTAACTATCTATTATTTGTGACTTCCAATAGGGAGAAAACTTATGAGATTTTCATCCAAAACAAGAAAAATCTTTTGCCTGTACCCCACCTTCCATCAGGAGCTTTTGGACTGCACTGTAATATTTCAGAATTTTGAAGAAACCAACACTCATATTTCCTAGTGTCTGATATTTGGTATATGAATCAGTGTTAGGGCTGTCGTTTATTAAACAGGCATTACTAGGTAGAAGAGCACCTGGCAGTTCCAATCATTTGTAGCTGTTCCATCAGACACTAATTGCGTCTGGCATTATCAAGGACAAACATTCCTGATGATCCCTACAAGTAAGTAATCATCTTTTGATGAATTAGCTGCTTCAAGTTAGCTTTTTGTTTTCATTGATTTCTCTTCTTCCTTGGCACTTCCAAATCTATTTGTCTTTAAATAATTTTATAACCAAGTCTAATTTTTCTATGCGTATTCAGTTGTTTCTAGCCTCATTTTGATGAAGAAGAGAAGCATGAATGAGCTGTTTCCTCCTTCCCTGAGGAAATTCTGGAAGGAACGAGAGCTCCAAGGGGCAGCTCTGTTCAGCCTTACACTCCAAATAATTCTCATCTTATTTGGCAATCGCAGGAAGTGCAAGTGTAGAATCTGGTTTAGAATTATTATTTGGTTTGCCTATATGTTGGCTGACTCTGTAGCGACCATTGCCCTTGGTATTCTGTCAAATGACCTAGGGCAGATAAACGATGCTGGAGGTAATATTGATGTGGATGATGAGCTCAAAGCATTCTGGGCACCCTTTTTCCTGCTGCATTTAGGTGGTCCTGATACAATCACTGCCTACGCCTTAGAAGATAATGAGTTGTATCTTAGGCACCTCTTTGGACTAATTATCCAGACAATTGCTGCAGTTTACATCTTGATTCTTGCCTGGAAAGGTTCTCGTCTGTCTTACCTATCCATTGTAGTGATAGTGGTGGGCTGCATCAAGTATGGGGAGAGAACATGGACCCTCTGGGAAGCAAGCAGGAAAAAACTCCGTGATACTATCCTTTCTGATCCAGATCCTGGCCCAAACTACCCCAAGTTTATGGAAGAATATACCTTGAGAGATGCAGAGGGGTTCTTCGTGGACATAATAGAGATGAAGGAAGGTCAGGCTAACTTTGATGTAAAACTGCCTACAAAAACTGATAAAAATGAAGATGATTTAGTCAATGCTCATGCCTTATTTCAGACATTCAAGCGTTTGTTTGCAGATCTAATCCTTAGCTATCATGACCGGGACAGTAGCCAAGGTTTGTTCAAGGAAATGTCTGCTAAAAACGCTTTCAAAGTGATCAAGGTTGAACTAGGATTCATGTATGATCTGGTGTACACAAAGGCACCGGTTATTTATAGTCCCTGGGGTTTTTTTCGACGCTTCATCACATTCTCCCTCACCTGCCTAGTGTTTTTGCTTTTTATCCTTGATGATAAGCTCAGGCATAACAGGACTGATTTTGTGGTCACTTTACTTTTGCTTGCTGTCGCTATATTACTAGAGATATATGCAGCACTTACTGTCTTTGCCTCAGATCAAACCAGAGTTTGGTTAATTAAGCATGGGATGACTAGGATAAGTTCTTTGGTAGAATGGTTGAAGTGGTTTAGGGTGCAGAGGTGGTCAAAATCTATTGCACAGTATAGTCTAGTATGGCTCAGCCTTGAAGAAAAACTTAGCCTTAAAATTATTGAAGAATTTCGGTATAAAGAAATCAATGGTTTCTCTAAGGAATATAGGAAGCTAATTTTTGACCATGTCAAAAGTAAGTTTGAGCAGATTTTTTACAAAGAGAAGCCTGAGCAATCTGAGGGATCAAAGGAAGAACCGGAGTGGAGAAGTAAAAGCAAGCGTTATACAGCTCTTAGGGAGTTCTACAGCCAAAGGGGAAAAGGCACACTTGATAAATACAAGGAAAAGATAGGTCAGGTTGACCTTGAATGGAGTATAAGTGCTGCTGAATTTGACAAAAGCATCCTTATCTGGCACATGGCTACAGAAATCTGTTACTATTCTCCAGAAAACCTTTCTGATGAAGTTAAATTAAGTAGAGATTTCAGTCTGCACATGTCAAGATACATGTTGTATCTCCTAGTCATTTATCCATTCATGTTGCCTGCAGGGATTGGGCTTATCAGGTTCCGTGATACTCGTGCTGAGGCCAAGGAATTTTTCAAGGAGCAACTGTCTACCACCACGGATGGAGGCACATATTGCGCAGCTGCCCTTGCTGAACTTCGGAGAAAAATATGGTAAACTCCTCTGTAAGTCCTCAATCTTTCTAGCATGAGATATTTTAAATCCTAACCTTCATTTTGCTCTGCCTTTTGTCCCCAAGGTTTCTAGCAACAATCCTATTAGTCCTTCTGTTAAGTTTAGAAGTTCAGTAGAAACAGAAGTATTTCATGGCAATTACGGTGCCCCACTGAACTTTAAATAAAAATTATAAAATACTTTTTCTTTTTCTCTCATGGTTCTCAGCAAAGACTCCAAACCCTCCGAGTGTAACCCGAACATTATCTTCATTATATTTGTATTGGAAATTAAATCTTTGTTTTGAATAGATATTATGCATTTTAAGAATTTTTTAGGGTTATGGAAGTGATGCATTTTTAGCATTTTCCTTCTATTTTTAGGTGAATTTGTTTCACCTCATATTTGTGTTTTTTCCTTTGCTAGATTCCTCCCCCCTTCCTTTTTTTTTGGATTGTTGAGAATTGAAGTTAGATGACTGAAAAATATGTGCAAATTTTTTTTAAAATTTCTTTGTTGTCTTTGGCTCTCTTATATAAAACCTCTCCCTTCTGGAAATTACAGGATGTGAAAAAATTCTTTCAAACTTTTTTAATTGTTTATATTGAAAGAAAAAGGTTTGTTGAGACCTTTAGTGCATACTCTCCATTACATAACAAATTTGTAACTTGAAAACATATCCATTGTTATTTTAATTTATTGTGTAAATAAATATTTGTGAAATGTAATATACTTTAGAGAAAGTGTATATTAGATAGACCTCTAAAAAATTAGGAGAAAAAACTTCTAAAACTTACATCTTTTCAATAAATTCTCATTAAAAAAAAGACTAAAATAACTTATTTTTTAAAGCACAAATGTGATTATTATAGCCCTTTTCTTGTAATACTTTATTAAAACAACGTAATTTTAAGTTTTTTCCCCTAATTTTTTAGAGCCTCACTTGATAAACACTAATCTCATATACTATTTATGACATTAAAAGTTAATTTGCTTCCCTTGGCTTAAATTTTTGGCTACTCTATTGGTGAAATATATAGGATATTATTTTTTGACTTTAAAGTTTGCTCCCTCACCCTAATTTCCTGGCTCCGTTCCTGCCTGCTGGTTCCAGTTCAAGTGATGGAGAAGTTAAAGCAAGAAGAAAAAGGGCTTGCAAGTCATTGCTTGAAGTGAGAACAGATGTTCCTCCCATCAAAGTCAAAGGCGATAGAAGCAAATCTGTGTTGTTTGATGCTTGCATGTTGGCGTCAAGGTTGAATACCATATCAGATCCAAAGGTTAAATGGGATCTAATGAGAGATATGTGGTTGGAGCTGCTAGCTTATGCTGCTTGTCAATGTAAGGGTAGTGAGCATGGTGTGCAGCTGAGAAGAGGTGGAGAACTTCTAACTCATGTGTGGCTTCTTATGGCTCATTTTGGCCTCACTGAGCAGTTCCAGATATCTCAAGGTCATGCAAGAGCTAGGCTGGTCACCAAATAGTAGAAGAGACATGCATCCTGTTTAAATTCTAATTGAGAGATCACAACTTCTCATCATCTGGACTGAGATCTAGGTGAATTGCTTTCTTCACAATTTTCTCTTTCCCTTGAGTATTAATGTTGTTAAATGCTATATGTAGATTGAGGACCCGACTTGTGTTTCTGCAACTTACATGTGTTGTTGGTTTGTCTTTTGTTGTGAAGAAAATTGAAACTGGTTGTTGTGATAGTTTCCTAATGTTTCCATAATCCTGACATAGATGACTAATTTGCGTATAAGAAATCTTAGAATTGTAGAAAGCTGATTTTGAGAATCAGTACAGTACAATCTAATTTGTGTATATGTAGGTCGTTGACAATTTAAAATTGACAATTTAAACCAAGTTTTCTTAGAAGTGTCTAAGACACTATTTGGTTTTATTATTAGGGAATAAATGATAATCAGACAAATAATAGTATTTGAATTATATATAACTATGAAATATTACTTTAAAAAATTGTCTCAAGTGATTAAGAATTTTAAACTTTAAATTGAAGATTTGAAGTTTAAATTTTAAGGTGAGTGGGGAAAGATAAAGAAAAGAGAGGGTCATTTTTTATTATATAATTTCTTAACATATAAAATGTTAAAATAATATATTTACCTCTCTACTTTTAGTAATTATTAGAGAGAACTTTTATAAATTTAGTGAAAGGTGTAATCATGTGTCGACATTCCATCTTTCCCCTATTTCAGTGCCCAATAAGCTCTTTCTGATCTAATAATTTTGGACCTATATTTTTTTTTATTGAATGGCATTTTCTTTAAAGGTAGTCAAATGAGTTTAGTGAATACTTTCTTGTTAACTAGCTTGATATAAAAAAAAAAAAACAAAAAAAACCAAAAAAAAAATTAATTTCTTTGAAAAATTAGACCCCAAAATTGCTGAATTTACAAGAGTTTAATAGGTATTGCTGAATTTACATTGTCTATTAAATTTTGACTATTTTATTTTATCTTAAGTATAAGGGTTAATTTCATTCAATTTGAAAGTATGAGAAGGGAGATTTATTTCAAGAAATATTATAGGGGTTCATTTCAATAATAACTAAAAATAGAAAAATAAATATACCATTTTCATTTAGGAAAAAAAAATCTATGAAATATTGAATATTAGAAGCTAGTACATATTAATTTTGATTTTTCAAAATAATTAAAGTTTTAATTTACATTTTGAAAATTAAAATATTATTTTATTAAATATAGATATTTAAATTAAAATTCATTATATATTCTAATATAATTAATATTTAAATTTAAATATTAACATTTAATAAGATAATTT